AAGCTTCTAAGTCTGCTGTCTTATTTAAGGGATTTTATGTTTTAGCTTCTATACAATGTAGTATTCTCCACAAATGTATAGAATAATTTATATTTGTTAGTATTTGTAATAAGACCTATTATTTATAAATGGTCAAAACATTTCTATAACTTTTACATAAGGATAAAATTGAAGGAATTCCTTGTAAAATTCCCATTAGTTATATAATTGCCAGTTTTTAAAACTGAGATAGACAGGAAAAGTCAAAAGCACTTACCAGCTCATTGGTACTAACCATTCTGTGACACAGTGTAGACTGAGATGGAGAATTAAGTGGGACTGCAACCATAGGATTTTTTTTTTTTTAATTTTTTTTGGTTTAAAATATTACAGATGTCCCTTTTTCTCCCCAATGACCTGTTCCACCCCGTCCGTTCCCCCTCCCCAGTCCCTCTCCCCACCATTGTCTGTGTCCTTGGGTTGTGCATATATGGGATGTTTTTATTTTTCTCCAGTATAACCTTTGTTTGTGATTGGTCAGATCACTTTGTTACTTTCTTTACTCATCTCAAGAAAATGTCATAGCTCTCTGGACACTTCAGAAAATATGTTCCATCTGACTTTAGAAAAGTCAGTTGAATCTGACTAGCTTGAATTTTAGCCTCAGAGCCTAATTTAAAACTTGACTTTTCAACTCTTCTCCTTGTGCTACTTACACTTAGGCTTTTCTAGGACCTTGGCGTGTGGAAAAAGGTTTGAATCTAGTCGTCCCTTGCTAACTCCAGTGAGCCAAGAGGGATCTGCTCTTTCATTTATATTCCAGTTTTTGTCCTGGGTGTTGATGCCTGGAAGAGAGATGAAAAGGGTAAAGGCTATCTTAAGTGGCACCTTTGTTTTTTTTCATTCTACTTCTCTGCCTAACACTGACTAGACCTCATGCCTTCTGTGGGGAAAGAAAGACAAATACTAGATCTCTGATGCAACATGTGTAAAACATTTTTGGGGAGAGGGTGAGGTATTTTGGGAGGGTCACACTTTGCAGTTCTGGCTTGCTTTTTCTACTCTTTCTGTATTTCTACCTTTCTAGTATACCCATAGCCTCTGGCTGTTGGGGTCCCCATTGTCTGGAGTCTCAAGCCCAGCTACTTTCAAAGTCAAGGCACTCTTTGCTGTGACTCCAGTTCTCTCCATCCCCTCTTCCAACTCCAAGTTTTTTTTCCCCTCTTGTCAGATGGATATGGGGAGAGGAGTAGGATAATAAATAAGTGTAAACAGAGGCTGAGGTCCAGCTGAGAGATAAGATCCCAGTCTTCTCTTCTTATTGATATATTGAGATTTCGGACCCACTCTTGCTTGGTAACTCATGGTAACAGCGCTGTCCACCTACATTAAGTCAGTGCAGCCAATTCTGATGATTGACTTATGCACGATGGGGTGGGATTGGGCAGTCTGGGGTAAAGAGGAACTGAGAAAGATAAGCTGTTGCAGTTATGTAGTAGTTGGCTCTCACTTGTTTAGTCTGTCTTCTGAATGAGAAATACTTGATTGATGATCCTTTTTTCTTAGTCTTGGGTTCTAATTACCAATCCCTGGACAATGGGGAAAGTCGTATCTGATATTCTATTACATAAATTTTACTATCCTTTTAAAAGGATTAAATGTTATATCACTCCCCAGTCAAAATTCTGCAGTTGCTTTCTCTAACATTTAAAAATAAATCTAAAGTCTTTGTTATGGCCTGCAGGGCCCTATGAAATCTGACCCCAGGTTAAAATTTTGATCACTTGTTCCTGTCTTAGAGCTGTGCTCTTACTATTCCATCTGTCTACAGTGTGCTTATCCCAAGTAGTCTGTGGATTCATTCCACATTATTAGGAAATTTTTTCCTTCAAATAAGGCAACTTCCTTAGTTTTTCCTTGATTTCTCTGTTAAAATAGTATGTTTGTCACTCTGTTCCTATAACTTGCTTTATTTTTTGTTTAGATGTGAATCATTTTCATACATTATATATTTAATACTTACTTTCTCTCCCATTAGTGTATAATCTTCCAGAGGACAAGTCATTGGATTTTTGTTCAGAGCTTTTTACCCATTGATTAAAATGGGACCTGACCCCATTGGAGAAGTCGATTTTTTGTTGTGTAAATGAATGAATGAATGCTAGTTTCTATGCTCAAACTTTAGAAATAACTTTGACTTATCCCACAGTTTTTATTATTTTAGTGTTTTATATAGTGTATATTTTTTTCATTTTTAATAGGTCTTTTATTATTCCTGTGTACTCCCATTGCTGTCATCCCAGTTGAACCACACCTCTAGTTCATCTTCCATATTGCTGCTAAAGCGATTTTTGTAAAATGGTTATCAAAATGCGACCCTTTGAAATAAAATATTCCTTAGCATAATTGGGCCTGTGCCTGTTGTCCTCACTGACCTCTGCAAATACTCTATATTCTACTCATATCCTTTTTAATGAAGGTACCCTGAATGCTTAATATGTTCATCTCTTACTTCTGTTCCTTCACTTAAAGCCTATTCCCTTTGTTCTTACTGCTGTATATTTTATTAGTGTGTGAACATACACAGTGTAGCTTTTATCATGAGAAGACTCTAGACAAGGTTCTTTACATTTGAAATGATTGTTAATCAACCATGTAGTTGCAGTATATGCTATTATTTCATACATATTAGCAAATCTATTTCTTCACTGAGTATCCTTAATACTTGATAAGATTTCAGTTGTCATGTTTTGATGACTATTTACAGGATACTACACCTTGAAGAGCACCATAGATACTGTTTTGTAATGCTGTTTATAATATTGTGAATTAATTTTAAAGGCAAAGCTAGTCTACATGTTTTAATTCAAGGATTCTTTTTAAAGGATGTTATATATGAATGTTTCTTGTATCTTTTACCTTCAGAAAACTAACCTGAAGAGTAAGGAAAATCATTTATGAAAGTACAAGTGTTACTTGAATAACCTTTTCAGAAAGTGTGATCCTTTGATAGATTCTTCACATGTAATTCTTTTTGTTTGTATGTATTGTATGAATGAAAGGAGAGACTGGTAAAGGAAAGGAAATTATATTAACAATTGAAGCCAAATGTTTTACTTATCTGAACCTGTTTCAAGTAAGTGCAGTGTCATACAAGGGACTAGTGGGCTTTTTGAGAAATGTAGAGTCTAGGAGTATAAAGCGGTATTCCAGAACTTGTATTTAGCATTTTTGTATGTAAATAATGCAGGAATATATAGCTTATGAAATTGGACTCTTTGAGAAGACACAGCTAAATAAATGTAGAAGATATAACTAAATAATAGTAATATGAAGTTATGTAGCAGTAAACAAATTTGGGACCCTATAAGGAAGTTTCAGTTGTTTGAGGTAGCTCTTTTGAACCAGTATTACCTTTACTGATAATAATAGGTCAATTGTTGTACCATGTGAGTTATTTCATTTAGTTGTTGAAACATACTTGTGTCTGTTACTCATTTTGCATAAGAAGAAACAGCTGCTCAGAGTTAGACATTTAATAAATGATTACTGCTACTTGTTCAGTTGGATGTCTTCATATCATCAGTAGTTCCTTGAACTTTTGGGGGAAGTCACAGAGCCTTTTTGAGAACCTGACAAAAGCTATGGCCCATTTTCTCTATAAAAATGTACTATGAACCTGTATAATATGACTTTATTTTTATATACAATTTTGCAGAACTCCTGGGTTCCCTAAATGCCATACAAGGACCCCAGATTGGGAATCCTTGATCTGTGTCTTTTAATAAATTGGACTAGGGTAGTCTGTACTTTCTTCTTCTCTTAACCGTTTCTTGTCACTTAAAGGAAATATTTATTCTATGCCGTATTTTAGAAAGAATTTAAGAAAGCTGAAATTGTCAGCTATCTCTGATTCCACTGAATATATGCCAAAATAAATAAAGCCTGTAATGGCAAGTGAGATTCAGAAAAGCTTGACGTATAGGACACTTTTTAGCGTTCTGATTTGTTGGACTTTTCTTAGAGCACCCTCAATCTGCCAGGAACCTAAATGTGTTACTTTGAAATAAACAGTTGCTTCTTCAGAGTAGCATAAACGTAGCTGTGACTGAGATAGAAGATTAGGAAAATAGCTTGGTGATTCAGTGATATTTCTCAGAGGATAATTTTTGAATTCTCTCTTCTGGTTCCATCAAAGATAAGTAGAAATGGTGTTGTAGTAAAAGTAAAATGTGGCCATAATTTTCTGTATTAATGAACTAAATTTACCGTACACTTGGTTAACTCATTGTTTATATGGGCTAAGGATGAAGACTGTATCTGGATTCTAGCTCAGTGTGACTTTGGAGAAGAAAAGTTGTCATTTTATAATGGGATCACTATTGAAACTTCATTATATGAAAAATGATATAACCATTGTGAGTTTTGAGGACTAGTTATTTCATTAAATTGTGTTTTTCCATATAAAGTAATTAAGAATTTCAGAATGTTTTTTCTTTTTCTTTAGATATTTAATGTTACATATGCTAAAATTCTGATATCTTACCTATTTTGATTGTTCTTCCTTAAATTGTCATTTAAAACAAAAGCGTTAAATTAGCTGAACAGAGTGAAGAATCTTATGTATACACTTGCCAAGTTTGGGGTAAATTACTATAGAAATAATGTTATAAATCAGTATACAATGTTTGGGTTTAATTTTCAACACAGATGTTTAAACATTGATATATAGCTATGTTGTGAATTGAATAACTGTATTTTTATTTTTTCTTCAATCATTCTTAACATTCAACTTTTAAATGAATGGTAGCCCATCTGTGTAGGGCTCTTGTGACTGAATGATGTATTCTGTTTTGCTGTGGCACAGTTTTTAGACAGCCACTTTTGTTGTTAAATATTTTCATTTTCTATAGTACTTTTCATCCCTGTATATATGTACAGGAATCACTTCACCCACCACCGAATTGCAGCCACTTCTGAGGTGGAACGCAGCAACTGTTTAACAGCGCACTTTCCCCTAGGTGCTGACAGCTGCAGAAGAAATTGCACATGGTCCTGTACAGAAGGTATTTCTCCACTGTGCCATCTGCAGCGTGAAACTGACTAGGAGTACTACATGGACTGTAAGTGTTTTGTGTACCCACTCTAGACTGGAAAACCCAATAAGAGACAATAACAAATAACTGGCAAGCATCATTTAAAAATGTATTGAGGTCAGTTAAACTCAGTGCTGCTCTCCCTGGCTCTAAATTTTGTGTTAAGGTCATCTAATTTGTGATTGGAACTGAGCTGAGTAACAAACAAATGGATACACTCCTTGGATATTATTTTATTCTAAAAGCAAATGAAACAAATGTTTTTATAAATACTGCGCTTTTAATGAAACTTAAAAAAGAATCAATTTGGTTTTAAATATCTTCAGATAACCAAACCAATATTATATAAGATTTTAGAGCTGTGTTCTTAAAGTAGCAAATTAACTTATAATTCAACAGGAGCATCCTAATTAGCTTTGCTTGCTGTATTTTATGTCTTAGTTTTAATACTTTCACTCTTTTGGTAAAATTTTTGCAACAAAACCAGTTTATGATGAGCCTAGTTTTTATTTTCATTTTTTGTTTTAGAAACATTGAATTGGAATTTTTTTAACATATTGAAGCAAAGCTTGGGAGAGAAGAAATAGTAAATATTTAAACTTCCACTCATTGTATTTTAGTCTCTCTCTCCCATTCAATTATTTAATGATTTTCTTTTTTCCTTTGTAAAATCAAATTTATAAGAGTGCTGTCTTTGGTAATAGTATGGCGTGTTCATGCCTTATAGGATAGAAAAATGACATTAGAAACTGCTGTGTCTCTTGTTAAACAATATGCTATGGATTGTTATATTGTTTTGCTTTTTCAGTCAATAGGATTACACACTAGTTATCAGTTGTTGTTTTTTTAATGATTTTTTGTGTGTCTATAGACATTTCTATGACAAGAAATTAGGATCTTAGTATTCACAGTTTTAGTCATGTGCAATACAGTGTCATTTGTTTTAGCTAATCCAAATTATGTGTCATAAGTTAAATGATGTTTGTATATATCTCTATATCTATAGATTCTCAATGAAAGCAGATAAAAGCCTCTCTGGGCCACAGTTTACGTACTTGTAAAATGAGGTGGGTGGAAGAAATTATTTTCTAGAGACCCTTTCTTTAAGTGTTTTCTGTTCAATTCAGGGGTAGAATTCTGTGTATTGGGAATTACACTTTACATTATGTAACCAAGATATTTTGGTTGAAGTGATCGTGTTCTAGTTAGAATATTATTTGTATTAATTAAATGCCCAAGGATAGTATTTTAGAGTCAAAAGAGGAGGTCTAATTTCCTACAAGGATTTTCAGCTATCTCTAATTTTATAGTGGAGTTATCCCCACTATTTTGCTTTTTGGGGGGGGGGGATAAATACAGTACAATTCTCAATATCTTATTCATCATGGAAGCATCAGGTAAATTAGAAAAACTAGGCTATATTTATACTCAGAGTAGTGTGTAGTTAAATATTACCAAAAAGTATTCATGAATTTTCCCCCTTGCATACTTCATACTTCATTCAATAGTGAAAGTACTGCAGAAGTAAACCTTAGTATTTGAAAGAATATAGTTTAGACATAATATAATGTACTTATATATCTCTAGGAAGAGGCTATTTTATCAGTATATGAAATATTTAATTTTCGATAATTGGTTCCTTTGCATTTTCTGCAAACAGTGTAATTGTAAGTATTGCTTAATTCCATTCATCTTATTAACCAAATAATCACATTTGACAGAATAAACCATATGTTTTATGTTATTTTAATGTTTTGCTGAAAAGGTACAAACTATACCTATTGTGCATTTCTCAGTAAATACTTTTCAATTCAAGACATTTAATTGTTACATATTAGACTTTCTGTGGATGATGTAAATTTTACAACTTATTTGATTCCATTTTTAACTATATGAATCTTATACTTTAATATACTCCCAGTGTATATTATTCGGAAAAGGGAATTAGATGGAAACTTTGATTTTAATTTAATATTCTTGTATATTATTTGAATTTAATAAACATGTACTATTCATGTAATCAAAAATAAAGGAAAAGGTTGGTTTTTAGTTAAACTGTATATTTGGAACATTATTTTATTTAGAAATTATCACTGCATAAAACATATAGAAACCTAGTATTTCCATTAGATTGATTACAAGGGATGGCTCTTCATCTTATTCTGAAGGACCGGAATGATTTGTCTTACAGTCACTCATAATTTTGGAATTCAGACATACATCCAACATCGAGAGCAGTCAAACCCTAATGAAACGTGTAGCTCTTTGCCCTCCCTCATTATGATTTGCTATTTGAAATGGGAAAAGTCAGCAAGTACATGGATGGAAATGTGACTTTTAAATAATGATATGTATGGACTTTGACCTCTATAGCAATGCTTTGACAACTTCTAGCTTTCAATTATAGGCTTTAAAAAAAATTGTTAGGATCAGCTGAAGCAATAGTGAAATTGGTGAGAAAATAAAAAGACATAATGAAGTATACTTTGAGTGTAGATTTTATGTAATTTAAACTAATTTTAAAGAACATACATTTTTAAATATTTTTAAATTATCAGATACTCTCAGTTTTATAAAATATATACTCTATCTTTTAAATTGGAATATTTTTATATTTATTCCAGAAAGATTTTTAAAAATTATCAAATTTGTGTGAATAAATGCTTGTGATTTGATAGGGGTGTGAAAACTTCCAGGTGTTTTATTATGAATAAATAGGCAGATGATTTTGCAATTTATCATTAGGTGGACAGTTCTTTCTGTACTAAATGGTTTATATTTGAGTAACTTCATTTAAACTTGGGATTCAGACATTATTTTTTAACATTCAAAATATAAATTATATATTCATAGACATACGTGTGCAGTTTGAATTTATATATTTTAAAAATTGAAAAGGTGTTTTTTTCCCCCCTTGGTAACCTCAGGCAGGTATATGGAGATAAAATATTCATATAATAAGTTCATTTTTTGCTAATTTTGTTTTATATATTAGTGAATTCCTGACTATTTTTATGAATTCTGCAATTATTTCTCAATATAAATTGAATTAGTTGAATGTATAAGTTCGAATAAAGAACTCTTGGTGCCGCAAATCTTCTGATCTTTACTTCTGAATTAATAAGCATTATTACTTAAAATTTGTCTTTTGACTCTTAAATTTCTGTGTGTTGTGGGTAAAGTTTGTGTGTGTGTGTGTGTGTGTGTGTGTGTGTGTGTGTGTGTGTGTGTGTGTGATCTTCCTAATGTATTTTCTGATCTGGAAGCCTGACTGCTACTTTGTAGCTATTTAATCAAGTGTAAATGTTTAACAGCTTTAGGGTTTTTTTCTTATGTGTTAATTGGGAGTCATTACACCTACCTCACAGGGTTGTTGTGAGGAAAAAACAATAAAACATGTGAAAGAGTGCTTAACTTATACCAGTATGCTAGTATATGAAAAATGAGCATTACTAAAACCTTCCATTGTCCTTATGATAAAATCCAAATTTCCTGTTCAGGCTTATGATCTGGCTCCTCCTATTTCCTCATCTTCATTTCTTTCCTTGCAAACTGCATGTATTGATTGGCTGATACTAAACTTTTTGCAGTTCCCAGAATATGTCATGCTTTCTTTGGGCCGTTGTCTGCCTTCAGTTCTCACATACCCTTCTATCCCTGGGCCACTATCGCCTGTACAGCTCAGCCTCTTCCCTCAGGTCTCACTTTAGATTTCTCCGCAAGTAAGCTGTTTCCCATGCCTTCTCCATTATACTTTTGTTAGATGACCTTCTGTAGGACCCTTCCGTGTTTGCTTATTCCTGGTCTTCCGGTTAGCACATGTAATGCTACTGCTTTTGCACATGTCTGTTTCCTCTGTAAACTTGTTGAGGGTAAAGTCTGCCTTTAACTTCTTTTCCCCAGTACTTAACCGAGTTTCTGCAACTCAGAAAATGGATTAATATTTAATAAGTAGATATATGTTTCCCCTAAAGGAACTAAAAACATTTAATCATATCATTAGTACTCTTTAAAAAATGTTAATTCTATATTTATAGAATAGATTTCAAACTCAATAATCATATCAAATTATGGCCTTATAATCAAAACTTCTTTGCCCACCATTTACTACTCTTAATGGATTTATTAAAAGAGATGAGCTCAATAGTATGCAAGCAGAGATTTACTTTATTCTTTCCTGTCACTTGTACCTGAAATCTCAATCTGAATATTATTATCTGCCCCTTGATAAATGCTGTTCGGGTGTCTTTATCTCTTCTCTCTTCTTTATCTTACTTTTCTGGGTTTGTCAGTCTTCCACTGTTTGGGGATAACCCAGTTGTGATTTCTCGATACAGTGCTTACTTCCTTTGTTTGTCTTCTTTTGCCTACCCTCCTTAGTTTAACTCTGACGTTCTGGTCTACCTCCAGCCTCTTTCTTCTGGGGTTATCTTGTTCCTTTTGTAGTCCTCTGGGTAGAGTTTCTTTAAAAGTGGCCCAGTGCTAGTTTTTTTCTAGGCGCCCTTATCGGTCCCATAGGAAAACAGTAATTCTTTATTCCACAAACTCTGGAATGGAACTCTTGGTCCTTTCTAAGGTAGTAGCCCAAACTGAGGTCACCTTGCCTTCTTGTCTTTAGGTTTCTTTCTAGGCCTAAGTCCACTTCTGGTACCATTCCTTACATGTCCTTTATTCTAAAAAACATAGGCCAAACTCTGAGTGAATCATTGTTCTATTTCTTCCTCAAACAAATTATAAGCTCCTCTTCTCCAATATATGCTTCTATTTTTTTATGTGAATGATAGGCTAAAGAATGCCTTACCCACAGTCTTTCTAAGTGTTACATAGATGATCTGTCACCTGAATTCTAGTACTTGGGTCCTGTTGTTCTCAGCATTGGGTATTGAGCCCTATCTAAAACTAAGAAAATGGAAAAATTCCTATTTTAATGTTCTACTACACTCACTTAACACTGAAGCCATAATGGGCAGCTTGCATTAGTATGCATTTCTATGTGAGTTCATCCATGAGTGTCTTAGGCTCTTCTG